GTAAGAGGTTGGTCATAGTAGTGACATTAGTTTAGAATGAGGGGAAGGGTTAATGATCAGAGTGTTTAAATAGGTAACTCACAGGTAGGTTGCAAGTATAGCAGTATAGTATAGAACTAACAGATGGTCGATCGTCTGTATGGCGGACTACTTAAATTAGATAATGACTAAAGTTGTACGTATAGCTTGTTATATACTCATCATGTAACTATAAAACCTTAGGAAACTGTTCATGTGATAGTTCCATAATAACAAACTAATAAAAATCTAATCGGCTAAGAAAGTGGCCTTAATAATAAAAAAAAAAATAAATAAATAATATTAACACTATTATCCTAGTAATGTACAGTGATTTAAGTAGAATAGAAACCTGCTATATAAACTAAATTAGAGAAATTTTTATATTAAATTTGTGGTTTTATAATCAAAAATTACTTCATTAAATTCCAAAGACGTGTCTTGTAATATTTGAAAATTTTTGAACTATTAAAAATAAAGTTATCAGATAGCTTACTATGATTTGTTATCCAATAATAAAATTATTAGACAGAGATAATAGTTTAAATTATTTTAAACTATTATCTCTGCTGAATAATAAAATTATTAGATAAGAATATCATAGTAAAACACCAGATAAACCTGATTAATTGTATCTGAATGAACCTAACAATTCATATCAGAGTAAATTTGATGATTCGTATTAGAACAAGCCTGCTTGTTTGTGTCTATGAGCAGATTAGGTATTATAGTTTTATGTTTTTGATACAATATAAAGTCAGAAGTTACCAAGGTGCTAATAAAAATGAAAGTGCCTATTATTATACTTATATTAGACTGAGATGATGATACTTGGTATTATATTTTCTAAAATAAAGTTCACAAATTGTAAATCTTTTATGATATCAGAAATCACAATTCCTGCCAAATCATACTTTTGTATAAAGCTAAGTTTAGCAGATAATGATTGAAAATCATAAAAGATGATGTAATATAATTGTGACTGCTACAATTGTAGCTGTTGTAGTTGTATTAGTTTGCAATGATTATAGTGATATTTGTGGTGATTGTGGTCATTGTTGTTTATCTAAAGAAGTTAATAATGAGAAGCAAGAGATAAGAACAAAAAAAAGACTGAAAAGTGAAAGCAAAAAATAAGTTTATGTAATATTAACTTCTAATCACCTCATTCATTACATATTACTTATCTTAATTTGCTTTCTAAGTAAAGCTTTTAAGGATACTAATCTTTACTGATTTTTTTTTACAGAAGATGTACGAAGAGTTAAAAAACCCTATAATCTGCTTTAAAAAACTTTTATTATATGAAACCACAAGTTGCCAATTGACGATATAGTTTTTCATAGTAAGAGTT